GTGCTACAGTGTATACAACAGAACAGTACAGAGCTAAAGTATCATGAAAAGTAAAAAACATAATTTAGCATTAACCTGGTTTAGCAAGCTGGATGTTAATTTGTTCGACTGGGCATCAAGCTGCTGCCAGATTTTGAAATCCCGCGTTCTGCACGTGCACAAAAGTGTCCGCGAGGGACGTGGATAAAACTGTTACAGCTGCTCTGCACTACTCAGTTTTCACATGGTTTTCAGAACGAACTTAAAGAACAATGCACGATATAATTTATTGTCATACCAGCGCAAATGCACATAAAATACGTACGCATTGGCATAATAAATCATGTTTGTTTCGAAATAATCATCTGTATTCACATTTATTATGTTGATAACAACAATGTTGATATTTGTAAATAAAACTATATTTCCTGCACCTGTCATAGTCGTCCAAATAACGTCAAAAAAAATTACGTTCAAATGTTGAATGTCATATTGACGTGCAAGTTGGGTCATGGATGGACGTTCAAATTGTGGACCTAGTTTGGACGTTGTATAGATGTCCAGAATAGGTCATGGACTGACGGACCTAATATAGACATGATCTGCACGCCTATCCGACGTCCAATGTTTAGTGGGTTCCATCTGGATGTATGTGCTGTCTTGTGCCTGCTTGTCCGTGTGAATTCGTCTTGAGTGGATACGTCATTGGCTGGGGATCACTCCAAATCAGGGCTGTAGCCAGATATGAGGTCATCGAGGTCCATACTGTCACAGTTCGGCAAGCGGGCGAGCGGAGAAGCAGGTGAGCGGAGCCGTAGATACGGACAAACGGGGTTTCAGGGAGACAGAGGCACACAGCAAGGAACGTCGAACAATACGTAACATTACACCACAGATCTGACGCATACAGACTTAGACACGGACTAAATACACCAGACAGGCTGAACTGAACAAGCAACAGGTGATCACAATCAGGAACTAACACGAGGTAATGACGGGGGCGTGGCACACATGAGGATCGTACGAGCCGGACGTGACAGAACCCCCCCCCCAAAGGCACACACACTGGGCGCGCCCCAGGAGAGGCGATGGACGAGACGAGACCGAGGAAACAGGACCTGAAAGACAAAACCAAAACCATCACTGGGGCACAGGAAACAGGACGGAAACACAAAACAGGCACAAGGGCAAAAGCCAGGACAGGAACGCAGACAAACAGACCAGGAAGGGAGAGACAGAGGGCACAGAGAACGGAGGAACAAAAGGACCAGGAGTGAACGGAGGCACGACAAGGGGACGAAGAGCAGAGACAGGAGGGACAAAGGGACCAGGAGCAGACAAGGGAGACCAGACAGGAACGGACGGGGGAAAAATGGGAGCCGAGGGAGCCCAGACGGGCGACGGGCGGCGGCCGGAGGGGCCGCAGGCGACTGAGAGGAGGGAGCAGGGGGGGACCACAATGGGAACAAGGAGACAGGATGAGGGACAGACGGAGGAGACAAGGAGGGAGTCGGAGGGGACACCAGCGAAGGCAAGGAGGAGGGGGAAGCCGCAGCATATAATGTCATTAATAAAAAAAAATTATAAACAACTTATGAAGGGTATGGTATCAGTAATAGTGTCCATAGAAACATTTCAAAGCCAAATTTGGATATCAAAGCAAGTGTATTTGATTTTGGCGTGTAATGATTTGTTAATATCAAGTATTTCTCTTTCATTTTTATCTTTATATATGGTTAGAAATAACCTTAAATTACATACGTCGTACCCATAATATTTTACTGCCCTGTAATGTTCTTATGATATTGACCTAAATTCATTCAGTAAGGCTCATTCATATAATAGCCCCACATAATTTGCTGTAACATCAGTTAATTGATATGAACTCTCATTTATACCCCAGAAAACAAGCCTCCTGTATGTAATGTGTGTTTGATGAGACCCACCCCCCACAAACCCGTTCACCCTCAGGTCCCAGACCTCGCTATTTTTCAAACCCTGGCTATGGCCCAGCTCCCAATCCCCTCACGCCACATCAGGAACTGGTACGTTCCTTTCAGAGAGCTGATCTTAAGGTATTTCTTTCATTCATCCATCATCAACTGCCCTTGTTATGCTGGACTGTTTTGGACATTGTTGGTAGTGTTCATTGTTTAGTGTTGTTTGTTAGAGTTGCAATTTACTATCACTGTCAGGGAACTGGGGGAGGGCTTTGTATGTGATTCTGTTATATTGTGTGTTTTTTAAAACATCTGCATTATTATTTAGAGTATGTAAACATTAACGTTTTTCAATAATAGAGTGTTTGGGAATTACATAAATGAAAATATAGCCCCAATTTGGGTGCACTCTATCAAAAAAATATCTAAATTCTGATTGTGAATTTTGAAGTCTTAGTCTTGTTTTGGTCTCGATTAAAAGTCTAGATATTGTCTTAGTCTTGGTTGGGATAGGTCTTGGTCTTGACTTGCTCTTAGGTTGGATGAGTTTTGATCTTGTCTTGATCTCAAATCAGATGGTCTTGAACACATCACTGCTGTTTCCCACGTTGAATCATAAACCTGAGAGGCCTCATTGTTAGAGGAGCCACTGGCATCTTTTACTCCAGCCGGATCTGATCCGGTAAACAAAGAACGAAGGTGACAGATTGTCAGGGAATGAAGAGGATAATGCGGCGATCCAGCGAGACCCAAACAGGTCGATACCGGCAAGCGGCCCCAGGCCAGCCGGCTTTGCTCCGGCAGGGCAGTGACAGACGGCAAGCAGGAGTGCTTAAACAGGGCGGGACTTAACTGACCCTGCAGTGACCATCTGGTGCGGGGATGCCATTCCGCCACCCAGCCGGTTTATGGTGCAGGGAGGGGGAGGCTGCCTGTCCTGCCGAGAACCAGGCGTATACTGTAGTCATTGAGGCACTGCTTAAGGTACTTTGTTAGTGAAGTGCAACATCCTACTGCTCCTCCATCCTCTCTCTGTCTCTCGCCCTCCCTTCCTTTTTCCCACTCCCTCCCTTTCTCTGTCTCGGACACGCTCCTGCAGATGCCTGCCTCTTATCCCAGTCCAGCGAGAGAAGCACACTCATAGTATGCCCCTTTTACTGGGAGGTATACTGGCTACATCCTCTGATTAATAAATAAAGTGACTTATTAATAAAGGTCATTAATAAAGTTCTTTGAATCTTGAATTGAATCTTGAATGATAAACACATTTGAGAAATATACCAAAATTCATCCTTTTAAGGGTCTTATCATTAACTCCCTCAAATGTAGTGAAAAGAAGATCTTGTAGGTAGATGGTAGTGCAAATGGCTGGGTTGCTTAGTGTCGCCCCCTGCAGAATGTGGGCAGCAATGCAGCCAAGGCTATTAGCCTGGGACTGCTGTCAGCATCCTGTCAGCTACAGTGCATTGTCCTTTAAATAATCCCCAGGCTGTCACACGGACATCTTCCCTGGAAATGCCTTGCTCTCCAAAATTCGCCTACCTGGGCCTATTTAATTACATACATGGTCATCTGCCTTGGGGCGGATCAGCCAGAGCTCTTTACCCAAGCCATCCATAGGCATGTGGGGGTAGCAGTCTGTTGCCATGGAGACTACTGAGTCACCCACACCCACATCGCAGGTGCTGGTCCTCTTACCTCGCCACTCCACCGGACCACAGTCCATTTGGAGGAAACACGTCTACACAAAGTGGTATCAAAAAGAGCATTAGGGCAGCGGATGGTGATTGTTTGTATAAAATATGAGACACGGTTTGCCTTAAACACCCAGTCATCTCCCTCACCGGTGACATGGCCGGCATTCACTGAGCTGTCCCCTGTCCCCTGTCCTCCTCGCTGGCTCCATCTTCTGCTTTCTGGGCTGCGTCCAAACCGCTTTACACCAGGGAGGGGCTCGTAGGCATTATAACCTGTAACAGCTAGGGGAGTGTTCCCCATTGTGCTGCTGCCCCCCAGCTGAGGGAAGGAGGATAACATCACCCACCCCCAGATGTTAAAAAAACTAACCAAATAGCTAGTGAGCAGAGTTAGAAGATTGTAGCTTGTCCTAAATAAGGCAGTTGTGTATTTCACATTTACTGTAGTGACTGTTTGTGACCAACAGTTTGTTTCCCGGTTTATGGTCTTCTGCTCGTTTGACCCTCTCATGTTTTCTTAGAAGAAATACCAACTTCTGAAACACAAGCAGGATTTAATGTCAAGAAAATGTACCGTTTCCTCCAGCTGGCATTTAAACAAAGTTCCTGTCATTCTGACAGGTAGCCTTTAAAAGTACTTGAAGATAAACAGCGGGTCCCCTCCCATAGACAGCTGTGTCTCGATGGTAAAATGACAGAGCACCCTATAAAGAGGACTATGACAATCACCAGAGGTGGCTGCTATTTCCGAATCATTAGAAGGGCACAAAAACATATAAATATTCATACATAGACCTATTACTGAATAAAAACATCTGCACGCCGTTGGGAATAGTGAACAATCGGCTGAAGCGCATTAAAGTCAAGAACTCAAAATCAGTGGTGAAGCAAATCACCTCAAGAGATTTGTGTTGGCGAAAAATGTCAGTCACAACCAGCAATTCTGGTTTCCTGAGACAGAACAAAAGCCCAAGAAGGAAAAAAACAGCTGAGGACAGCTGAGATGTATAAAAGAGAAAAGGAGTATCAAGCTGGCTTCCACAAATTATCCTGAGCCTAACAGCTACCTAGAGCCAGGGGTGATTCTAAGGGCTTTTTAATGGGTTTTAATGGGTAAGAAGGGCCATAATTCATTGAGAGGGGCTCACCTTATCATTAGCCAATGGTATGTTCTGAATTGGTGAGGGGGCTCTCCGGGGGCCAAACAGCTTACAGGCTGAAAATTATGGCTCTTCATATGCCCCCACATTAAAAAAACCCTAGAGTTGCCTTCACTTGAAAGGGACCTATCTCCAAACACATGCTATGTTTTCCCCCAGATGATTTAAGAAATTTACTCAAACACGTTTTGGCTAAACTTACAAAAGGTATTTTGTGTTTCCAGTCAATCCCACACCCCACCATTAGGTGTCATCCAATGACACTTTCCAACATGAACCGGCGGAGCCAGGTGGTGATCCAGGCCAAGGACACGGCAGGGCAGATGCGGGCGGGTTCCCCGAATCACCATGGCCATCATCATGTTGTTGGATGTCAATGACAGCCCCCCCCCCCCCGGTTCCCTCAGGGTAAGCACATACAGAGGCCCTGGTGCTGCAGTCTCAGCTTATGCTGATGATGTGATGATTTTCATCAATAATGATGATGATGATGCCAAGCTTCTATACTTTGCTCTCAAGTTACATGAGAAGGCCGCAAGTGAAGTGAGCTGGGAGAAAGTGAGACCTTATGTGGAGGTCAGATACCAACAGAAGGGATGCCACAGCTGGCAGGAGCTGACCCAGGTAAACGAGCCATCTTCAGATTGGATCGCCAGCAGAATCAGGTGGTGGCAGGAGTATGTGGGTTATGGAAACCAGCTGTTGTGAAAGATTGGAGGCAGGATCGAAAGTGTGAGTTTCCTTCTTTGACTGTTACTACAGCTGCAGGGCATTGGCAAGAGGATGAGAGGCTCATAAGGAAAAAATGTTCATACACTATTTGAGTGAAAGTGTCAAGGGTGTGAACCTTGGCAATAGTGCCCTGAAAAATATGGACTATGTTTCTTGGTACAGGCCAATTGATAAGTGAACAGCTGATCTCCAATGGAGTGTCGAACATGGGGCGATATCTACGAACAGACATCTAGCGTAGGATCAGCTTTTCACTTCTTTGGGCAATGCAAGGGTAGGTTATTTATTTTCAGTACTAACCTGTTGGTTCTCAGTATTAGGTGAGAGGTAGGCCTGGACGATATGGCAAAAATTTATATCACGATAT